TTTCTGGAAGGAACTACTTCCAGCATGGCACATATTTGATTTCTGGCTGTGGGCTTCCTTTCAGTCAGTATCAAGACATGGGTCCAATTCAGAAAGGGAACTTGTTTCAGCTGCTGACATCAATACAAACCTTAGTGCAGGAGGGAGGAGGAGGTAGAGGCTTACCCACACAGAAGAGTTTATAATGGCAATAGATTGTTATCCTGGGAATGAGACTGAGTGCTTTGTTAAACAAAGGCAGTTGCAGAGCTTTGATAGGCCTGAAACACCCCTGAGCTAAGAACTTTGAATAGGACACCAAGTACAGAACGGCAGGCACTGCAGTGCCAAGAAAGCTTAGGGTAACATACAGGAACCTCAAAATCACCCATACAAGGCAGCTGGAAGTCCTGGAGCTGTTGAAAAGTCTCTGTAGTCCATCAGTGCAGAGCAGAGGTTCATAAGCAAGAAGCTGATTTAGCCTCAAAATAAAGATATGTCATTTGCATTTCCCGGCATTTAATATTTGTGTAGAATATCTGTGTGGTTTCTTCACTGCAGTGTCACCTGCTAGTTCTATGGTTTCAGCTACAATAGTTTCATACAGCTGAAATGGTTTTCCTGGCCACAATAGGTTTGCCTTGCCCGCACAGAAATCCCCTCAAATGTTTATCTTGAGCTCTTAGAATGTTGGCCAAGAAACAGAAATAAAAAATTGCAAATAATAAAACAAACAAGCATAGAGGACTGAAAAACAAAACTGGAATACAAAGATCTAAAGAACAGAACAGTGAGCCAACTTCAAAGGTATCAGAAGAATAGTTCCAGATGCAACAATAGGAAGGTGTGGTGATTGTTTACTTTTGTATATAATAATAGAGGAGAACCAGAGCAATTCAGTAGAAGGCATTATTACTGCTTGTGTGTAACAGCACACCTGAAACAACCACTAAGGAGTTTTAACTTTACCAGACTGAACTCTTACCTGAAGAACTCTCTTCATCCATCCCCTTGAACTCCTTTTGCCAGCACCCAGTAGACTGGCATTTTGGCATCTCTCACATCCTTTAACAGCATGTTCATGACTCCACAATGTGTGTGGAAAGAAAAGTCAAGCTCATTGTTTTCAAATGCACTAAAACAAATGCCAGAAAAGTCAACTGTAGGGCATTTACGTGCTTATTTTAAAAAGCAAGGATCGTGCACTACACAGCTAAAATCTGTTTAGTCACTTGTCTAAGCCAACATGATTTCTTTGAAATTTGCATAGGTGCATGTTATTGCAGCTCCACAAACAGCTGGCAACTAGTTAAACTGCAGCAAAGTATCCACTCTGTGTCAAGACAACAGTACAACCCAGACTGATGGAGTCCACGGGCTTCCAGCTGTGGCACAAGATCAGGAGCACTAAGTATTATGCATGACTAAAGACTTTTAAAGGTCCTGCTCAATGCCAGGCTTCATATAAGATATTTCATTCGGTAATTCCACTGCCACAGAGGAACTGAGCACCTGCCTTGATAGTTCTCGGCTTTAGCGTCTGTCTCAGTATTTCTGAAGTTATCTAAGGTTTTCTCATCTGTTTTAGTTAGATAGGATGTTGGCTCCCTTGTCAGAGTTCATTTTAGAGAAAAGATTCACTGGGCAAGGTGATACAAGTACAGAACATGTCGGCTGGTTTAAAATAAAAGAAATCGGTAAAGTAAGAATTTCCATTATCTCATAGCTAAAAAAAACAAGAAAATGCTGAAGCAAACTGCAAGGTGAAAAATTCAGAGCTGATAAGAAAGTTTTTATATGTATACAATTTAAGAATTTCAGCCAAACCCAACAGTCAGACAGTGTCACTGAAGCTACAAGTTAGGCAAGACTCTACCATGTTTATAGAATAGAGTTGAACAGTTACGGTAACCATTTTTTAAAGGGGAAGGACAACCAACTACATGCTCCCAGGGTCATTATTTAGAGATTGCATTGCAACAGGGAGGAGGCTCCTTTGAGGAACAGATAATCTCACACATAGTAATTAAAGGTGTTCTGTGCCTTCCCCTGTAGAGTCCCACGCTGACCACTGCTGGAGGAGAGCAACTGTCATGCTGAAGTAGATCTGAAAATGCATCAGCTCCCACGACTTGTGTCGGGGTGCTGCTGAGGTCCATGGTCAGGCAGTGAGGGGTTGCAGGGAGCTGGAGACCAACTCTGCATCACCATCACTGGGGCAGGAATCGACAGCCCCAGGCTGGGCTGAAATGGGGGCCTGAGCCACGGGCAGGGTAGAGGTAGTTCCTTGGGGAGGCAGGGCATGGCCATTTAGTGCCCTCAATGCCCTGAGAACTTATGGAAAAAAAAAAAAAATTGGTCTCAGTTGGTAAATACTTTTTCTATGACCAACTCAAATGCAGTTTCCCAAACTACTCTCAAAAATAAAAATTAATTGACTTTTATGAATAATATCTGCGTCTGTTCCAAAGGGTGGAAGCGCTGGAGTGGGAGAAGCATACAGACCCAAATTCTGCTCCTGGTTCTGCTAATAACCTGCAGAGGGTAGGTCACTTGCCCCTGGTTTTACCATTTTAGAATGAGGGGGACAGTGAAACAGTCCACAGCTGTAAGCAATACGCATTACACGCGGCCGCAAGAAATAATCCTATTTTGCATCAAGCCATTTTTGAAACATTAAGAATTGAGGTTGAGAGGGTTGTTTTGTTTGTTAATATACGTTATATATTGGGGCTATTTTCTAGCTAATTCATACCCAGGCGCTGTTAGTTGCCAAAAGTCCTAATAACACAATTCTGGGAAAGGAGAACTATCTCCTCAATGCATTTGTAATCTGTTAAGATTATGCAGAATAGTTTATCCCTATCTAGATGTCATTATTAAGGCCAGTAAGACGAGCGTAGCTAGAACTGGATCTGTGCAAGCAGTATTGCTAACAAAGAAAGATTAGAAGTGAAAATGCAGGCAAAGTGGTCAAAGGACAGGATAGATTATTTTGGTTTGGTTACTCCACAATTTAGCACAATTTAGCACAATTATGTCCTTCCACACGCTGAGTGCTGTTAGCTTAGGAGTCAAGCAGTAAACAAGAAAATCTCTGCTCTGCTGATTTCAGAGTTGTTTTTTTCAGATAGATTATTTATAGATGATCATAAGTTTTACATTGGTCATAAGAATAGATATTGTCACTGTTCCAAGAATCTCTTAAGCACACCTAACCATCAAACACAATAAAAGCAGAAAAATTTTCTTGAATCACTGCTGACATCTCTAGCTGATAATTATAGGCAACTATTCTGAATAAAAACCTAAAAATCTGAAATAATTTTCAAGTGAAATTGGATAAAAAGACAGAAGTGCCACTTGGGCATGAGAACTATCAGTGTTCCTCACAGACATACAGCATGAGAAAAAAAATTAGATAAGGAAAATGGAAAAGCTCTAGTCCAGTTTCACTGATATTAATAAAAGATTCTCTATTCACCCCACATGGCTAATATGACCAAAGACAGCAGTCAGAAAGAAGGCCTGTAAAGAGTAAGCATTGGATAAAGGGTATAAATAATAAGGCCAGATTGGGCTGGAATTATAATGGACTCAGGAAAAGCCTAAACTTTCACAAATAAAGTTGAACTGATTGCAGGGATGTTCTCTAATATTTTACAGCCAAAAAAAATAAATCAAAAAATCATCATTCACTTTAGGGTGATATGCAACACTGCTGACTATTACCCTCTCAGAAAGGTCTAAACTCCAGTTGTCCCCAGTATGCTAAGCTCTTATTGGCCTGCCATTTTATAATAAATACTAGAAGCAATAATCCCCATTGAAACTGTGCTATCATGATCTCAAGAGGTTGGCTTGCATGGATATTTGGTCACTGTCTGCCAGGGAGATGGTCAGAAAGCAATTAAAGCTGTCTGGCTATGCTGACATTTTACTCAGTGTACACCAAGTCTTTAATTTCTGTAAGTGTACATTAGAGTTTGAGCTGCTGATAGGGAAGGGAGAGAAAAAGATCAAGCCCTAAAGTCTCTCTTGTATCAGGTTGAAATTTTTGTTTAAAATCAAGCTTGATCAGTTCCCTAACATGGGTAAAAGTCCTGTGTAAGAGGCCATGTCACTCTCCATTCGAATGGCCAGAAGCCATAGTTTCCACAAGAAACAAAAGCAACTAAAAGCTTTAAATCCTATCCCATTGTAGGAACACAATTGAATTCTCTTCCCAACGTGAGGACAGAGTATACATAGTCACTGCATAGGACTGACAGTCTGTGTGGGAATTACTGAAGTCTAGCTGCAAGATTTCCATATACAGACATTTCCTGCCACGAGAATGTTACAGTACTAAGTCAGCATCCAAAGTAATCTAAAGAACAAAAGGAAAGCCTCTAAAATAGCGAGAAGGAAAAAAATTATACACAAAGATCACTTCATACATTCAATACAGGCATTTAAAGTCAAAGATATCAAGGTCATATTCTGCAGCCTTTATTCAGGCACATCAATAGGAGTGGCTTGTTAAAGTAAAGCCTGAGGCATTATCTGACCTTTTTCAATTTTCTTTTTTTCCTTTGGATAAGATGGTTATGAGATTCTGCCCAAGAACAGAACACTAAGACGTACCAAACTCAATCACACATTTGCAACTGAATAATATCTATGTTTCAAAGTGTGGTCCCAAAAAAGCTCTATTAGTATCAGTAGAAGAGACAAAAGATTTTTGAGTCTGTACTCTGTTCATATAAAAATAATCTAATCTTGCTATAAACAAAGGGAGTTTAATTAATCAGCCATTACCTCAGCCACATTTTAAGCGAACACAGCAATTCCCATGGAGGTTTGATGGCCTTCCAAACTGTTACACTAATTTTGTGACGAAAAAGTGAACTAATACAGGTAACACACACTGAAGCCATCCTTCCTACCCACCTCCCAAGAAATCTTGTTTAGCATAAAGAGAGAAGAGAGGTGCAGTCTGTGACTGTATCAGCTTCAATATCCAAACTCATCATTCTGACCTTGAATCCTGTTGCTGAACACATGGAGAGAAACAACAAGATTTCCCAAGAATTGTCATGATGGAGACCAGGTCCTTCTTCCACAAACAGTTTAGGTTAAATAATACTTTTGTGTCTCCGTATACACAGACATCTGAGAGGAAAGCAGCTGTCATCCATGTCAACTCCCCTTCCATGTTGCCTCAGCTCAATCCCACTGTAAAGAAAAACAAGAACTATTAAGTCTGCAGCAATTTTCTACTGTTCTCTCACTTCCCTTTTCCCATTTGCAATGGCTGTATTGCCTATAATAGAAAACTCCCAAAAACGTAATAAACTATAATAAAGCTTTTCCATGTGCCCACGTGGTTCAAGTGTGCAGGGAAGCAGACTGATAGTGTCCCAAACCTAGCTCTGATGTTATTATACAGCACTAGTACTGTAACACTTAGTAGCTGTTCCATATACTTCCTGCAGCTCACTGCTACCATTATTACTTCATAATATTAATTACAGTGTGATATAACAAGCACCTAAAAACATTTGTGTGCTATTTCAAATGATATCCCTTGATACCTATTTTGCCTGAGCACTTACTTGCTTGGATAAATTAATAAACTCTTGCTTCTTTCAGCGTGTGCTTAGAACAACTTGATTTTTACTGAATTTTCCAGCTTCAGCTTCTTCCAGAAGAAAGCAGCTTTGAAAAGCACACTAAAACAACCACGACATGCAAGGAAATAGGAATCCCTCCATCTGTGTGTGCTGGGCTGGGCTTGGTGCCCTCCTCCAGGGTCACAGCTACCTCATGCAGAGGTAGATTTATGCAAATGTAACATCTCCCTCTACTGGCTAAAACCGTGGGAATACTTCAATTTCCAAGCCCAGGGAGGTTTTACCTTGGCTGAGAATCCCTAGATCAGGTCACCTCTCATCCTCTAGTTCTTACACACTTGTAATCTCTCTCTCTCTGTAGCCTTAAAGCAGACACGGTTTGCGTGATGGAGCAGGCAACGATGAACTGGGCACGGTTCTCCTGAAACCATGGATAATAAAGGCCTCAAAAGTGAAATGCTTTGAAGGCAAGAAGACATTAAACAAGTGCAAAAGAACCATTCCTGGGAACCCAGGACTAGAGGGGACAGTTGCTTTGCAGAACCTTTCATCTTGGACTCCAAGCAATGTCTGATTTAGCAAGATTGCTTAGTAAGTGATTATTAAGTGATGGTGAACCTTAAGTCTCTTCAGTAAAATGAGAGTCTAGTGGTTAAATATGGAGGTTTTACCAAATCTCAGTCCTTTACTCTTTGAAGACCAATGAAGCCATAACTCATTGTTATTGTGTTCCCCACACTAACAGCATTTTTGTATCTGTATTGTTTTTTAAATGCTCAATAGCTGACACAACTGATGAAGAATCATTTTGATATGTTCTGGGAACAAGAAATGCTCACCTACGCACACACTCCAGATGGCAAGGCACAGCTGGGATACTCTGTCAGGAGAATTTCACCACGCAGCACTTACATCCACCTTCAGTTTCCAGCACTACATTACATGCTCTCTCACACCCAGGAGAACTGATGGTTTCCACAGAGCCTTTAGGCTACAACTAGTAGCCTACAGCTACAATTAGTTTGTAGAGAGGTACAACTGGGAGGGTACAATTCACATTATACCCCAACACCAAATGGCTTTAAACTGACATAATGGCATTCTAAAGTTAACCTTCTCTTTTGTAAGCTGCTGGCAGAGTTGCCCACGTAGATCTCCTGTAGTCAAGAAAAACGGAAAAGATGATACATTCCATTAAAAATGGAGATTCACTTCACACCAACCTTCTGAAATGTGGCCTAAACTACAAATTCTTGATCTATAGGCTACAGACATTAATATTTTTCCTGCTACAAGATTGTCAAGTTCAACAAATAATTAAAAAACTATTTCTATTACAATTCGCACAATTGTAAATAAGGTAAACAATGGGAAAAATTTTAGTTATTCATAGCAAGAGAATTATATCCTTTTCTTTGTTCTCCATCTTTTAAAAGGCTTTTTAATTCACCATTCCTCCCCTTTTATTTCCCTTCTTCCTTTGTTTGATAAGCTTTTTCTAAAATTCCCTTTCCTGCATGGGCAAAACCACTCATGCAGAATTCATCACAGGAAAACAAACATAATATCTCATTCCCGTATTCCCAAGAGGGAATTAACTGAAATTACCAGTTCTTGAGAAACTGGCATAGAAAATATGCAGGACAAATTACTATAGCCCAGTTGTCAGGGAAACTGTTAGCACGCTGGCAGCTCGGGAAAATGGGCTATTTGAAACACTTTCTACCAAGTACCCAAGTGAACTATAGGGTCATTTGTGGGCACAGGAGGTGCACAAAGCCTGAAAGCATTATTGCCTTTGAAAGGCTTAGTAACTCCTGGCTGTTGTGGGGGAGCTCCCTGCAGAATGGAGGCTTGCTACCTTTTTCAGCACAGACATAGGGTTCTATGAATAGCACTTGGCTAATTCCCCCTTTGTGGAAGTCTTTAGGAAGCTTTTCATTGTATAGCCCATTCTATAGAACTCCTAAAGCCAAAAGATAAGAGTGATAAGTTTTCTAAAGAAACAGTACAATTCTAAATGGGCTTTTTAAAAACTATTTGTGCCCAGCCCTGTTACGTTTCCTTTGCTACTCAAGGGACAGCAATTATCACAGCCAGCAGCAGAAAGACTTCTGCGATAGAACTAGGCTTTAACCTGACCCAGGTCTGCAATGGATATGTAACAAATAAATAAATAAACAAATGTCTTTATATATTATGTGAGGAAATGCCTCAATTAAAGGTGTGGACCTCTCACAACACATGCCTAACATCAGGTTCCAGAAATTTAAACAGCCAGGAGCAGATTTCACATTATCACTGCATCCATGTGGATCAAACAAAGAGACTCCTGGTCAAAAATACATGAGGCAATTTAGGTTATTCTAAACATAATCCTTGCGGGGGGAGGGAGCTCAAGAGCTAAAAACTTGCTGACAACAATAGCAGGTTAACATCAGAATCAAAATAAGGATTTTGGGGGATATCCCAAGGTTTTCCTTCCCATTTCTCCTCTCTCAGAAATATGGTCAATGCGTATCAGCAGTTACTTGGTTACAAATCTGGAAACCTGCTAAAGACAAAGTTTTGTGACCTGATTTTACCTCCTATTTTGCAAGTTATGTAAAGTTTTCTGCATGGCTCGCTCATAGAGTATTAAAGTATTCCTCCTTCTCCAATTACTCGATTTGCCTGCTTGAACTACAGATCTACCAGCCCTGGAGATCCATCCAACTTGCACCTACTTATCCTCTCCAGAAGTGCTTGCCATCTCTGGCTCCCTTTCACCTTAGAGCGTGAGGATGTGCACGCACATATACAAGGTGTGTTGAGAGGTTAAAAGGGTGAATTTGTGCTGGGAGCATCATGTAGATGATTGGAGTCTCAGCTTGGCACAAGAAGAAAGGCCAAGACATGCCAGAATTTGTAGAGACATATTCCTCAATTTGCTTGAACTGTACTTGGCGCTCAGACTCCTAGCAAAGACCAAAGACTGAAGGTCACCATGTTCATACACACAGTTGTTAAGCACCTGGGCACACACACAGATGATTCAGTTCACATCTCAGACCCTGCCACCAAGGGCACTTTGTCACATGCACTCCTCCCTCCCTGTACAGGGCTTCTACTTCCCCTGACAAGGAGCAGCCATTACATTCGGCTCATTCATTCATTTCAGACTCAGCTCATTCATTTCACCGGCTATAAACCTCTGGAGAAGAGCAGCCTAGCCTGAAGTTTTGCCTGTATCTGCTGCAAGGAAAAATGTTCATTGCAGTTCTCGGGGTTACCAAGGACATATCAGAAAACTACTAGGGCTAAAGAAGCATGGGAAAAAGAGTGAAACCCAAGTCTGTAGCCCTAAGGGCAGAAAGGGATTGCACAGCACTGTCTGGACAGCCTGTCCACAACACTTGACTTTTCCCAGCGGTGCTTGCACTCACCTTCCTTCTAAATAAACCTGCTTAAGCCACCCATGCCAAGTCCTGAAAGGAGAGTTGGTGGACACCTGCAGCAAAGTCCCTGTTCTATGAAAATTCCCCTGTGGTCAACAACAATCAGGAAGGATACTCTTGCAGAGGCTGGGACTCTGATTTGCTTCAATTCACAGCTCAGCAATAAATTTCCACAGCGGGACAGGGAAAGGCACTCTCTGTGCCTCAACAACCAATGCATAACAGGAAACAGTGCAGCCTTTCTCTCAAATACACCTTTTACTTGTCTGCAGAGCTAGACTCTTAAGGTTACAGATACGCAGCATAATCTAGAAGGACTTCGAAGGATCTGAACTAACTCATGGGTCAGTTAGCCCTGATGAAAAGCAAGATCTGTCCTATAGGACGCCAGCTAGGTACCTTTCTCTTTCTACCACTAACCTCAAGACCCTTGAGAGGAGTAAGAACCTGGCAAATGTCCCTGGCACAGGGTGACAAGGCAAAGATAATGCCTCCTCAAGACTCTCCCTAAGTCTCTTGGTGAACAGTCCTCTCTGGCAAAGATATTCCCTTTCTCTCACCGAGAACAAAGTTCTAGGTCTTCTCTAGAGAAAGAGGAAAATGTTTCTTAATGAAGTTGATGAGGGAGTAAGTAACAAGAGAATCGTGGCTTCCTTGGAGAACAGAGGCTGTGCAAGTAACACAGGTCATGGCTGAGAAGAGAAAAATGGCAGGTGGGACAGGGAAAGGTGAAATACTGCTTTGCAAAAGGAGCACAGTAACACACTACTATTGGCATATAATAGCACTTAATATAACATGTATTTGGAATTGCAAAACCCCTACAGCATCACAAATCTTGACGCAGGATAGCAACAGGCTGTGTGAACACACTTAACACCCAGTACCTTTGGGCACCTCATTCCCATTAGCTTTAATGGGAGTTATTCATCTAACTAGGATTTGGTAACTACTTTTGTGCATGTCCCATGAGCCTGCACTGAAGTACAGATAAGGCCATTAGTTTGGACAATGTCTGTCCAGAGGATGCTAAGTCTAGGAAAAAAAAAGATAGAATTCCTGTATCCGGGAGCTGCTAGCTCCAAAATCATGCTGTGTCTTAAAGATATGATAACTTTCAAAGTTGGTTTTGGTTTTTTCTTCAGGCCTAGTCCCTAATCATATCACCTACTGCATGTTCTAGCTTGAATTAAGCAACACCCTATTCACAAGTAATTTTGCCAGAAACTGAGGTGATTTCAGCATATTTCAAAGTATTAAAATCAGTTTAGCATGTATCTAACTCCAAAGTAAAGTAGATAACAGGCATTAATCACCCAAGTAAATCCATTAGTCAGTTCCACAGTGTCCATGGCTGTTCCTGTACCTACAGCATCAATGAAAGAATGAAACATCAGCCTTCACCGACTTGCTACAGCAAATCCACGTTACTTGAGCAAAATAAAGAATTTCAGCTCCTGTGATCTCCTCCTTTGCTTTTGCTAATTACTTTGGTACAGAGATTTCGAAATTATTTTTATGCCATAATAAAAAGGTAATGGCTCATCTAGCCTGCAGAGGCATAATTACTACAAATATATTTGTTATGCAGATGATGATTCTTGCACGGGCAAAACCGAGCAAGCGGACTGATGACTGTCACTTGACTGCCAGTCCTCTAGAATTGTGCCCTTCCAGAAAGATCAACACCACTACCTAAAAGTGTGTGTCTTAGGCATCACCTGATACTTTGTCTTTCCTCGTGTTATCAGTTGAAGTTGTGTGTTTTCGGAGTGTTGGTGTTTTGGTTTTTTTCATGTTTTGTCAATTTTGCTGATTTTAGGATCACTAAATAAACACTATCTTTCACCCTGGAAAGTCAAATTTCAGTCAGCTGTTCACCACTATGGAAATAGTTGTTCAATATTTGTACATATTTAATGCATAGGATAGCTAAATTGATTAAAAAGATGAACAAAACAAGATGTGGATTTATATGTTTGTAATTAATTTACATATACAACCGGATTTACCAATCCAATTGCATGATACTGCAGACAATCTCTGTAGTTTCCTAAAATCACAAAGTTCCATACCTAAAATAAAATAAATCCAGGTTCTTAAAATTCCCTATTTAAACTACCCGTATTTCTGAAACGCAAGAGGAAAAAATTTGGGGAAGAAGGAAAGAACAAAGAAAACCAACAAAAAATATCATTCTTCCTTTAGAAAGGGAAAATAGTCTAATCTTTGTAAAGAAAGTGTTCTGGAAGTTTGAAGTTCTACATGTAAAGGATGGAGGGATTCTGAGGAGTCCAGACAGGAGTTTTTGTCAAGCCACAGTTAATGACTGTTTTCATTTCTCTTAGTCACAATGTCCAGAAAGGTTTTACCTTAAAAAAACCACAGCAACCATCTTAAGAACCGACTGCTTCTGCTACAGACATCTGCTGCTCCATTACCACCAGTAGTGCATGTATTTACCTCAGCACATGCCAATTCAGAAGTCAAATGTTGTCTCTCCTCCTCCAAATAGTCAAAGATAAGCACATCATAAAAGCAAACTCTCAAGTAATACCTTTGCCCTTGCCAAGTGGCTGCAAGCTTGAGGTGCTTCCAGACCTCCCCCCTCCTGTGAGGTGAAATGAAAGCTGGGGAGACAAGATACCCATCATGTAGATAGCTGTCTAGCAAACAGACACAAACCCGTTTTCTTGAGGGCGCTCCCATGCCGCACACAG